CTGAGTCTGTTTCTCCCCATCCAGACCCGTACGGCCTCCAGACACCGGGCCATCACGTCAAGGGCATCATTGGGGTGGCCTGGGGTGGAAATGTACAGCTGAGTATCATCAGCGTACTGATGGAAATCCACCCCAAAGCCACGGATGATCTCCCCCAGCGGCTTCACATAAATATTGAACAGTAAGGGGGAGAGGACCGCAGCTTCCTCCTGCCCGAAGCCCTTTGCCACGTCCTTATTCAGCCAACCCACCAATTTGCAGGGAGTCCTCGACTTACGTCCACAACCGTGCCCAAAATTTCTGTTGCTAAGTTGTTCAGTGAATTTTGCCCCATTTACGACAGACGTTAAGTGGATCGCTGGAGTTAAGTTAGTAACACGGTTGTTAAGTGAATCTGGCTTCCCCTCCCCCGTCGACTCTGCTCGTCAGAAAGTCGCAAAAGCGGATCAGGTCACCCCGGGACGCGGCGACCGTCATAAATACAAAACACCTGCCAAGTGTCCTAATTTTGATCACGTGGCCAGGGGGATGCTGCCACGGTCGTTAAGTGTGAAAAACGGTCACAAGTCACTTTTTTCAGTGCCATTCTAAGGTTGAACGGTCGCTAAAGGAACTGTTGTAAATTGAGGAATAGCTGCATACGGCTGCCCGTCCATCCCTTGACCCTTCCCTCTCCCTCCCTCCACTCCTCCAACTAGATTCCTGTCCTGGTGGTGGTGGTGGGGGGGACTGGAAGACCTTCAAGGTCCCTTTCTGTGAAATCCCCCCCCCCCCCCACTTTAAGGGCAGCACCCAGAACTGGATGCGGGATTCACGGAAATATTTCCTTCCTCTCCAAGCCGGCCACTCCCAGGCTCAGAAGGGGGGGGGGGCAGCAAGTAAAATAAGCAGAACCGCCATTATTTCCCCCTGGCTGGGCTTTCGGCCTCTGTGGAGGCAGCCGAAACGTCCATTTGCATTTTTTCTGCAACCCCAACACACCACGGGCACCAACTTGCTTTGCGATCAACTGGCTGGAAAAACTTTTTCAGAAATAGCACCCCTAAAAGTCAGATGGTGGTCTTCTTCCTCTTCCTCTTCCTCCTCCCCTTCCCCTCCTCCTCTCTCCAGCCCTGCACTAAATCAAGCCTGGGACTATTTTTATTGGGGTGATGTCAGACCGAAGATGGGGATCTAGAGAGCCCCCCCTTAGGCCCCCATGTGCATCCTGGCAGGGGAACCCCAAGCAGAAAGACGCCATCACCCAGGTATCACTTCAAGCCTGTTGGGGTTTTCATTCAAAAGAGGGGCAGGGGACCCCCCCAGGAGTGCAGCGTGAATTTGGTCTCTGCACTGCCTCAAAGGGAAGGGGGGGGTCCTTTCCAGGAAGTCAGAGTTCTGCCAAGGCTGCACTGGGAGCCACACGAGCTGGAGGGGCCACGTAGGGTCTAAAGGGCAGAGGAACATGGGTGGGGGCACCCACAGGTCCTGGCCTGGGGGGCTTTTAGCATTAGCAGTGCAGGGGATCCCCGCCCTGAAAACTTGCCCCCTTGGCTGGCCAGGCCCCCCGAGGTCCCGACACATCTGGGCAAGACCTGGGAAGGGGGGGCTCGCACCCAAGGAGCCCCCAAGAACTGCAGCCCTGCGGAAGAGCAGCAAGGGGCCCGACCTCCCACCCCTTTGGGGGCGACCTCTCCCTCGGCCCGGAAGGCCCCAGGAGCCCGGAAGGGAGATCCACAGCTCCGTCTGGGGAAAGATCTAGAAGACCCGGGGGTGAGCCGGGCTGGGGGAGGGGAGGGGGAGGAGAGGCAGCCCCCGTGGTGGCCCATAAACTCATCTTCCCGTGATTCACAGAAACCATAATCCAATAACGCCCTAAAACAGAACAGTGTGCCTGATATGGGTTTGATTCGCGCAATTATAAAACAAATTATTAAAGTGAGGAGGGGGAAGGCGGGGGGGGAGAAAAAGCCCCCCGAGTCCAGATTGGAATAAATTGGGTGCAGATGGGTGGGGGAGGGGGGCGCCTGCTCCCCTCCCCGAGATGCCCTGCCGCAGCAGCACGGCTTCAATTAGCGCGCTCGCACACCAGAACGAGACGCCCCACTTCCCCCCAAATTATCCCCCCCAAAGGAACATTCTCCACGCATTTGTGGTCGGAAGACAGGGACCCCCCCCTCTCCCCCTTGGCGGGCCAACGCTCCCCCTGCCCAGATTTCACCAGGCTGCTCTCGCAGAGGGGGGGGCAGGGCTGTCTACCCCTCTGTGGGGACTTGCAAGGGCACCCAGGAACCCCCTCCTCTGGGCAGCTGCCCTGGCCCCTCTGGCGGATGCCCACCAAGGCAAGAGGCTGCTGCAGGAGGAGCCAGAGGCCGAGCACGGGGCGAGCTCCCCCAACCTCTAGCGGCTCTCTGGGAAGAGGGAGCCCCCCCCTCCAGGGCCGGATGGGGCCTTGGGGTCTCCCGGCAGAGGATCTGCTGCCCACAGGGACAGCTTTCAGACTAACAGAGTGGGAAGGGACCTCGGAGGTCTTCTAGTCCAACCCCCTGCTCAAGCAGGAGACCCTATCCCAGTCTGGGCAAAATGGCTGCCCAATCTCTTCTTAAAAAGCCTCCAGCGATGGAGCACCCACAACCTCTGGAGGCAATTTCCGTTCCCCTGGTTAATTGTTCTCACTTGTGAGGAACTTTCTCCTTCATTCCAGTTCGCTCCTCTCCTTGGTTAGTTTCCATCCGTGGCTTCTTCTCCTGCCCTCTGGTGCGCTGGGGAATGGCTTGACCCCCCCCTCCCTCCGTCTTCTGTGGGGCAGCCCCTCAAATACCGGAAGGCTGCTATCGTGTCTTCCTTTTCGTTACACCAAATATACCCAGTTTCTGGAACCGCTTCAGGCTGGCCTCATCCACCTTGGGAGCCATTTGGCACGCGAGAAGGAACGGGCACCGAGGGGACCCCAACCGGCCAGCATGAGGAGGGGTCTTCTGGAACGCCGCCCACGCTGGAGGGGGGTCTTCTGGAAGCACAAGGAGCCCTGCCTGCCAAGCCTCCCCCTCCCCCTCCCCCCCCGTAGGTGAAAAGGCCCCTACCTTTGGGCTGGGAGTTGTGCACGGCGAACATGTTGATGGCCATGAGTTGCAGGAGGCGGCTGCTCCCAATGGGTGGGGGGCTGTGCTCCAGCAGGGCCTGGAAGGCGGTCAGGACTTCCGCTGCGACCGCCGGGAAGGTCTCCATCCTGAAGGAGGGCAGAAGGGCAGGGTGAGCGAGAGGTAGGCAGATGCCGGGGCCCTCCAGAGGCCAGCTAGCCTGGCCTCATCTAAAGCAAGGGGTATGTGGGGTGGGGGGTTTCCCAGCCCATTGCAGAGAGAAGCTGAAACGTTCCTAGTAAGTTGAGGAGGGGGCTGGGCTCCTGCTGCTCTCCTGGGCTGCCTGAGCCCCTTCCCCTTCTCGCCGGGCCTGGGGCCCACCTCAAGCCCTGCCTGCAGGCCTGGGCCACTCCGGGGCGAGATAACCCTGCAGCCACTACAGGCCGGACCGACTGAGGGGACCAGCCAGGCAGAATTTAAGCACAGCCTGCCCCCCCCCCCCGCCTGGACAGTCACCTCTGCCCCTTTTCCTTCTGCAAGGAGGAGAAGGGGCGGTGGAGGCAGCAGTGCCAGCCTCGCTCCCCCCCCAGTTTGGCACAGGGCGACCAGGCCTCTGCCCTGGGCAGCAGCCTGGACTGGGGGGGGCGCTTCTGGGTGGTGCTGGGATTTCATGGGGCCTGCCAGGTTAGGGCTTTGCCATCCTAGCTGCCCTCCAGACCAGAGTCCTTGGGCCCAGGGCTCAGCTTGGAAACCTCTCCCTTTCCCCTCAGCACGGCTGGCTCAGGAATTCTGGGAGTTGAAGTCCACCAGTCATAAAAGAGCCAAGGTTGCCTACCCCTGGCACTAGGCCAAATGCCTGAATTTTGATCACGTGACTGTGAGGAAAAAATATTTAAATATTTAAACCAGGGGTGGGCACTGAAGACCCCAACCGAGTTCTGCTGTGGCTTATTTATTTCTACATTTA